GGTTCAGCCCACTTCCATGCTTGAAGCAGATCCATGAGAAGGTGACGTCTCCCTGGCACTGTTCCCTGGGCTCCTGCGTGGCTTCCGCTCCCTCACTGGAAAGCCTCTGCCTGGTTCTACTCTTCTGACTTTGTTGTTCATTGCTCAGTTCATTCTGCCTGTGTCCCTACTTGACGTTGACAAGCGGAACTGAGAATTAATAATGACCACAGCTGCCTTATATTGAGCCCTCTCCATGTTCCTAACTAAAGGCTTGTGTTGTTTAATATCAGCAATTTTGAATGGTAGGGTGACATTTCAGGGGCCCAAAGACAGGAAGTCACTTTGGAAGGTGACAGAACTCAGGAGGTAGAGCCAGCAGGCAAACCCAGGTCTATCTCACTCCAAACCTTGTGCTCTCATTTTCCAAAATGGAAATAACTTTATTTGCTTTCTTCTTTTCTTATTTGTTTGCATTATACTCATCAAATTGCCAGAAGTAAAAATATTGTGAGTTGTGCAGGACGTAGCGCATTGGAAACTTTCGGAGGTGCAACCACTTGGAAAGCAGGTTAGCAGTATCCAGTATGGTTGTAAATGTACCTACCCCACAGTGCAGCAAATGCACGGCTGGCCATGGGCTTCAGGAGAATGTTGGATGTGAACACGGTGACACTGGTACAGAAATGTGCTAGCACCACTGTTTGTGGTGAGGGAGACTGAAACCAGAGAGCACTGAGCTGCATCTCCAGCCCCTTTTAAAACAGACCTTTAGGGGGCTGGTGAGATGGCTCAGTGGTCTAAAGCACTTACTTAGAACAAGCTTAGCAAAGCAAAGCATAGGGACCACAGTTCAGTCCCCCAGCACCACATGCCAGCCAGCCGCGCCCCCTGGTGGGCTGAGCTGGACACACACACACACACACACACACACACATAAATAAAATTTAAAAAATAAATAAAAATAAAACAGACCTTCAGTCAGGGTCTTGCTAGTTTCTCAGGCTGACCTCAAACTTGGGATCCTCTTGCCTCAGCCTCCCAAGTAGCTAGCACTATAGACCTGAGCCACCATTCCTAGCATAGCACTATATTTAATAGCAAACAAACCAACAAAAGTCAACTTAGGTACTCATCAGTAAGAGTGGGCACACACCCATATACACCCACTCACGTATAAAATGCCAGTTGAAACCTTAATATCCAATATTGTGATGTGGTAAGGCTAATAACTTAGAGCTACGTATGAAATAAATTTTGAGCTAAAAAACCTATAGTTCATACACCAAATGGTTTGAGATTTAGAAATAGGCATACAAATAGCATATATTGTTGATCAATATCCACATAAAAGTAAATGTAACCAAATGCATGGGATTGAGAAGCACCAGACTCAAAAGAATGATTAACTCTGGGGAAGCAAAGGAAATGAGGCTTAAAAGCTATTTATATTTTATTTCTTCAAAAAGATTTGACAGTAGTGCATGCCTGTAATCCCACCACTTGGCAGGCTGAGGCAAGAGGATCCAAATTGAAGACCAGCCTAGGCAACTTAGTGAGAACCTATCTTTTTGTCTTAAAATTAAATTTTAAGACAAAAAGGTGTTGGGGAAGTAGCCCAGTGGTGAAGGGATCCTGGGTTCAATCCCCAGTATTTAAAAAAAAAAAAAAAAAAAAGTGTAAGTACAGCAAAATCTTCAGATTGGTCAGCCAGGCATGGTGACACACCTGTAATCCCACACTTAGGAGTTAGAGGCAAGAGTATCATTGTGAGTTCAAGACCAGCCTGGGCTACAAAGTGAGCTCAAGGCTAGCCTGAACTGCATAGCAAGACCCTGTCTCAACTCAAAAAAAAAAAAGAAAGAAAGAAAAATGAAACAGACAAAGCTGGATGGTAGGCACACAGGTAAATATTGCTTCCTACACATCTCTAAATGTTTGAAATGATTTTTTTTTTTTCTTTTGTATTTTAGGGAAGGCCTACAGGGTATTCAGGGTCTCACTACTAGATCAGACTCCAGTGATCCGCCTGTTTATAGCCTCGTTAGAGCTGGCATTACAGGTGCGCCACCACGTCCAGTCTCAATTGCCACCTCAGCACGCCTCGGGGGCTGGGCCAGCAGGGCAGGCCCAGGGATTGAACCCCCAGACCCTGCGCCTGCTTGTAGGCACTTTAATCCACTAAGCTATTTGGCCAGCCCTTGTTTGAAATGATTTATGAGGTATAAAGTTATATGAATTCATTGTAAAAATCTTACATGTTGCAAAGGCATAAAGAAGGGGCTGGGTAGAGCAACAGAAGGGTGCTAGTCTGCCATAAGCAAGGCCCTGAGTTTAATCCTTAGCACAGCAAAAAAAAAAAAAGTGTGACAGACATAAAGAAAATAAAACAGTGTGGCAGCCTATGCCTGTAATCCCAACACGGAGGTTGAGGAAAGACTCTCATGAGTTCAAGGCCAGCCTGTACTACATAGCAAGACCCTGTCTGAAAACAAACTTTTTTTTTTTTTTTTTGGAGGGGGGGAAGAACCAGGGATTGAACTCAGGCCCTAGTACTTGCCAGGGAAGCCCTTATTCTACTGAGCTATCTCCCTGGCCCAATAATTTTTGACATGTTACTGAATATTCAGAATTTTTCCTAAGCAAATGTTTCCTTAAGAGCAAAACAAGCCATGGGTAGTGACACATGCCTATAATCCAAAACTCAGGAGGCTGAAGCAGGAGGATCATCATGAGTTCAAGATTAATTTGGGCTACATAGTGATTTCAAAGCCAGCCTGAACTACATGAGACCATGTCTCAAAAAATAAATAAATAAATAAATAAATAAATAAATAAAACAGAAAAAGCAAGAAGAGGAAAGAGGAAGTAAAAAGCATTGATGTGATATGGGCCGGGGAGATGGCTCAGTGGAATATGCGCTTCCCTGGCAAGCGCAAGGGCCTGAGTTCAATCCTTGGCTCTGCAAAAAAACCCAAAAAAACAAGATGTGATATGTAGGGCCGGCCACATAGCTCAGCGGATTAAAACGCCTGCTTAGACAGATGCAGGGACCGGGTTCGATCCCCAGGCATGCCCTGCCCGTCCTGCCCCCTGGGAACACACTGCGCTGGCAATTGAGACTGGGTGTGGTGGTCCGCACCTGTAATCCCAGTGCTTGGGAGGCTGCAAACAGGAAGATCACTATGAGTCCCGAACTGTGTAGTGAGACCCTGTAGACCCTGTACAAAACACATTTTTTTAAAAAAGAAAGAAAATTAAAAGATGTGATATGTGCATGTGAAAAAGAATATAACCTGATCAAATGGAAGGAATTACTTACATGAGAAGGACAGGAGAGGGAGTGGGGAAGAGATATATATAGATATCTATGTATGTAAGCAGGAGGGTTTGGATAATTGTACTGAGTTTCTGCTGATAGATGGAACAGAGTAGTTAATGCTTAATTTGTCTTTTTTCATTTTTTTCTCTTAATTTCTTATAACTTTTTCTTTTTCAAATTTTGTACGCATGTATCTGGTACTAGGAATACCTAATTTGAAGATAACACTATACAAACAACAGATACTGTCAAATTCATATTCATTTGTTTAGTGAAATTCTGTATCAGTTGTGATTTTTTTATTACTATCTTGTATTCTCCTTAAAAAATAAAAATAATGGGCTGGGGAAGTAGCTCAAGGGCATAAGTGTCTGCCTGGCAAGCCCAAGGTCCTGAGTTCAATCCCCAGTGCCACAAAAAAAATGAATAAATAAAAAATAAAAATAAAACCACGGGAAAAACAAGATGAGGAAGGGGGAAGTAAAATACATTAAGATGTGATATATATGGGCCTGGGATATAGCTCAGCGGCATAAGTGTCTGCCTGGTAAGCACAAGATTCCAAGTTTGATCCCCAGAACCACAAAAAAAAAAAAAAAAAAGATGTGATATGTGTATGTACCAATTCCCCAAGAAGAAATGTATTCATAAAAGGATTTCAAATTAAAAATTATAAATTTTTAAAATTAAAAAATAAAATGAACATTATAGAATTGAATGAAACAAAAAGCTGGGCATGGCAGTGTATGTCTGTGGTACCAGAACTAGGGAGGCTGAGACAGGAAGATCCCAAGTTTGAAGGTACCCTGTGCTATCTAGTGAGTTTAAAGCTGGCCTGGAGACGCTGTCTCTAACAAAACCAAGAAAGAACAAAACAGAATGCCATCCCTTTATTTAACATCATGGAAACCTTTTTATGTCTACATCAAGCCATACACAACTTTTCATGGACACATATTCCTTCAAATGACTGAATAATAATTTAACTGGAAGGGCTGGCCTGATAGCTCAGCGGACTAAAGTGCCTGCTTCAGCAGAATCAGTGGCTGGGATTCGAGCTGAAATGGCGATTGACACTGGGCACTGTGGCTTACGCCTATAATCCCAGCACTTGGGAGGCTGAAAATGGGAGAATCACTACAAATTCAATCTACGTAGTAAGACCGTGAACACCCTGTAGACCCTGCCCTAAATACAGAAAAATAATAATAATAATTTAACTGGTCCCTGTTAATGGACATTTAGTTTTTCTTTTTTCTTTTAATGTGTTTGGTACAGGGTCTCACTATGTAGATCCCACTCATAGTGATTCTCCTGTTTTTAACCTCCCAAGCACTGAGATTACGGGCATGTGCCACCACACCCAGTCTCAATCATTGTCTCCCCAGGGGTGGGGCTAGCACAGCAAGCCAAGGATTGAACCTCAGCCCCTGCATCTGCCTAAGCAGGCACTTTAATCCACTGAGCTATCTGGCCAGCCTTAATCAATTCTTTCTACTGTGGAAAAACAATTAGAACAAAAGTGAAGACGTGTACCTTCTTCTGTTATACTACTTTCAGTTGTCAGTTTGTATTAGAACAAGGAGAAGAAAATTCCGGAACTTGCCATCTGCAGGGGCTCCTGACTGTCTAGGTGATACTTGGTTCCTGTCCTTTGTGTCAGAAAGGAAGCTGTTCTCATATCCCCTCTCCCCTACAGGAATAACAGCCAAATGAAGAAGCGGCCAACATCCGCAGTGGGCTACAAGAGGCCTATCAGCCAGTATGCTCGGGTTGCCATAGCAATGGGGTCCCACCCCAGATACAGGGTAAGAGTCTGGGAAGTCAAAGTAGGAGGGGAGAAAAACCCAAGAGAGAGAGTGCATAAGCCTCTGCTTGCTCTAAATCCCCTGACACCCTTGCCAACATTCAAGAATGACTGAGTGGGGCCGGCAAGATAGCTCAGCGGACTAAAGTGCCTGCTTAGGCAGCTGCAGGGAGTTTGATCCCTGGCACCACATGCTACGCCAGACCCACCCCCAGGGTGAGCCCAGGGTGGGCTGAGCTGGCCACAGTCCCAGCATGGTGGCACACACCTATAATCCCAACACTGGGTAGGCTGAAAACAGGAGGATCACCATGAGTCTGAGCTGCGTAATAAGACCCTGTAACAACCAAATACATTTTTAAAAAATGACTGAGTGCCTAGAAGGTAGTGTCACTGAGGCCATTGCTCACATCTGATGTGTGATTGCGTCATAGGCTGAAAATGTCATGTTTTTGGAGTTGGACGTGTCCCCTCCAGCAATCTTTGAGATGGAATTTTCTCATGACCAAGAGCAAGACCCTCGTGCACTACACATGGAGAGGCTCATGCGGTTGGACAGCTTTCTGGAAAGACCATCCACATCTAAAGTCCGAAAATCCAGATCCTGGTCAGTACCACTGTGGTCAGAGGGAGCAGTGCATTTAGGCGGGGACCACATGGGCTACAAGAGTTTTCTGGCACCCCAAAGGGCTATGGAAGGAAGTAAAAACCTGACTTTTCTATGTCTTGCTTTTCCCTCCCCTCCCCTTCCCCTCACTGGCCCCAACTCTGCAGGTGCCAGAGTCCCCAGTGGCCTCCACCTTCCACCACACATGCCTCGATGGCCTGCGCGCCTCTGAACGCTGCGGCAGTGGTGGACCATGAGTGACAGCCTTCACAGTCAGGCTGCCCAGTGACACACTCCGGCGCGAGGCAGCCAGCCCTGGCTCATCTCATCCGCAGCTTGGTGGTGTGTGTTTGAATGTGTGTGCATGTGCGCGTGTGCGTGCGTGTGTAGGACGGGGTGCCCGCTCTTCTGCACCTCCTTTATTTAATCCATGTTATTTATTTGTGGAGCCAGTCGTTGCCTGGGAAGCCATCCGGGCCGCTGTGGTCACTGTGTAGCCTCCTTCTCTCTAGACTGGAAACCCCTAGTCAGACCTCCAGCGCCTCTGGCGTCAACCACCCCTAAAAGGAGGTGCCAGTGCCTGCGTGGCAGTGCAGCCGTTCACCTCCGCTGTGTCTTCTCCATCTCTGACCTGGGACGAGCGGCCCCTAAGCACTTTCTGGGATGAAGACTGCCGGGGTCTGCTGAGGATGAGAGACCTCCTGACAGTGCTGAGCCTGTGCTCCCGGTGGACAGGGCTCTGCTCTCCACTTCCTGGGACTCAGACAACCTCTTCCAGCCTCTCAGGCCCTCTTCCAAGGACTTCAATGACCTCACCTACACTGGCTTCCCCAGTTCAGCCTCCCACCCACCTTCCCAGCCTTGAATAGGAATCGTGAATCAGGTGGTTGATGCCATGCCAGGATCTACAGGAAATGGACCCAGAAGATGTGGATTGTCATCAAAGAAAGTCCCTCCTTTGGGTCTCTTCATTTCTGTCCCCTCTGCAAGCTTCCTTTGGTCCAGTCATCAAACCAACTGCCCACTTTTGAGATGTATCTTCTTCCTGCTGTGGCCATTTTTCCCTGCAGCTGCCAGATCTCAGGTCGTCACAGAAGGGATCAGTGCCATTCTACCCCTGCCTAAGCAAAGGTATCACAGTCTCCCTCTGCATTCAGCACAGGAAACGGAGACTCAGACAGAATCTTTGCCAGCTGTATCTGTTACCCCCATTTCCCCATCTTAGTTTTGGCACACTATTTTGTTGAAAACTGCCCCTTTCTTTACCACTGATGAAATTGGTCCCACTTTACCTTCCTTTGTGACAGCTCAAAATGTCTCCAGATATTGCAGGTGATAAGTAAATTACTTCCAAGAAAAAAAAAATTTGACTTATTTTTTACAAGGAGAACATTTTCATCTTTTAGTTTTTAAAATGCCTTTGCACATATGCAACCTCACAGAATTGCCTAAGATCACCTTATTTTAGAAGTTAAATCTGAGTTAAAATTATGAAATTCAGACAGGCATGGTAGCACACACCAGGAGAATTGGAAGTTTGAAGCCAACCTGGGCTATACAGAGAATTCCAGGCCAGCATGAGCTCCATAGTAAGATCCTATCTCAAAACAAAAATAAACAAAACAAAAAATTAAGTTCCATTCCACAAAGACACTAGATTCCTTCCATAATACTTTCCTAGTATGCTTCTTGGAAGTATATACCTGATCCTTTCTCTATCTTTTGAGTAGAGATCTTAGATCTACTCCAAAAATGTTGATAAATGCACAGATTTCTTACCGAAGATATCATAATGTCTGCTATAAACATTTAATAGTTTACTATTTAATTTTATGGTGGCTGAAAAAATAGGAAATTCTCTTAATACTAAGAATCATCGGATCAAATACCTTAATTATCTTTGCAGTGTAGGTTTTGGCAGAAGGGCGCAGACTAGTCACACATTAGGATCTCAGCTGCCCTCAGGGTGGGACTCTCCTGTCCCTAGACTGAAGCAGTTCTGTCACTGGGGTAAATCTGACAGATCTGCTTGAAGCTTGATGAATGGCAGGCAGATTTGGGGACTTCCCTGCAGGAAATAAATCTTTCTTGCACCATTCAAGTTTTTCTCTGAGGATCACATTTTGTTTGATTTAACTCAGTGATGTTCTCTTCTGCTGTAATTTCTGGACTAGATGATTTCTGAACCGCTCGATTGCCATTTGCTCTACTCCCTCAAGGGAATCACAGTTTTCGTCACAGCCTGTGAGATTCATTGAGACTCAGGATTCAGATCAGACATTTGGCTTTGGTTGGAATAGCAGTTGTATGTGGCAGTCCCCTAGGTGTCCTGGGCGTGGAGAGACCTCCAGGGCTGCATTGAGCGGCCTCTCCCTCTGATCTCTCTCATTTGTGAATGAAGCAGCACGTGTCATCCCATTCCTTGCTTGCACACATCTACTCTGCACTGTCTGGTCACTTGTCCCTCACAGTCTTAGAGCACAATATGCCCAACTTCACCACCCCCAGTCTGAGGGCCGGACCCGAGGTATGGTCGGAGAAGAAGCCCCTGCCTGTGGTTTTGTGTCTGAGTATATGCGTGTGAGTGTGTACTTGTGTGTGTGGGGTGTGTGTGTGTGTGTGTGTGTGTGTGTGTGTGTGTGTGGTTACCTGTACAGGGGACACTACATTCAACTAAAGATGTGCTGGGAACAGGGCCCTGAGGATGGTTGGATCTCAGTCTCTTGTTCTCTTTCCTCTCCTTTTCCTTTTGATGTATCAAACATTTGATTCACAAAGTAAGGGCCTTGTTTAGGACCAAACTTCCATGTTTGTTGCTATGGTCTTTATTTAGGACAACAGTTAATGCAGTGACCCATTCTTGTCACTCTACATATGACTATATGGGACATATGTAATATATAAATATATATAGAGAACATTCCCTTCTGTCCCCTTGGCTTAGGATGGAGGCTTGTTGGTCGAGCACTGCAGCTTGGTGCTGCCAGCAACCGCAGGCCCCAGCCCTGTTCAGATGAACACAGTCGACAATAAAGGAATGAGTATCATTACGAAGTTGTTTGCCTATGTTTCTTTCCTTTGTTTCTTCCTACATTTACTTCCTTCTTCATTGTTTTCCTTCTCTTTTTTCCTTGTTTTTCCAGTAAGGGTTCTGGAGTTGGGAGACCAGCAGCAGTCACTGGCAACTAGGGAAAGAACTGACTACAGGAAATAAATATATCTGTCTGCCCTGGAGCACTCTGGGGCAGGCTCTGGGCCCTCAGGGGAGGGCAGCACCACGGCTGTGGTGTCTAGGCTCATAGCCCCCAGCCAGCTAACTGAGCTATCAGTAGCTTTCACAGCTGTCCAGGTGGCCTCCAGGTGTCATACCTCCCTTCGCCCCTCTACATTTCAGCCAAGAGGTGTTAAAGCAGGAAATAATGCACAGTATTCCCACTGTGTGTCTGGCAGGCTTTCATCAAATCAGATAGACTAGCCCGGCTGGGAGTATTGCTCACGGTGGAGCTAGAGTGCTTCATTAGCATGAGGTAGGCCCTGGGCTCCCTCCCCAGAACCACAAAACAAAGAACAACCAACCAATCAAAAAACCTAAAAGATTTAATTCCCTATAGTGTGGAAGTCTTAGAGGAAATAAAGAATAGCTACAGCCAAGCCAACGAACAAACCCAAAACCACAAACTGAGCCCCAGGGTCAGCCAAGGTTCATCCAGTTCACCCGAGACCTTGGCGCTGGTAGCTTTTTGGCGGGACTTCTCTGCCTCTGTCAGGCTCCAATATGTTCAGGGCTGGGAGTTGTGCTGTGTGGGAAGTGTTTGCCAGGGGTTGCATGGACAAAATCCTGTAATCCTCTCAGGTGGGAGATTTCCAGAAGACAGTTAGGGAAATTAATGTCAGCTAAAGACACAGGATCGAGCCAAAGGCGGTATGCTCACCTCTAATCTCAGCTGCTCAGTGATTCAAGCTCCAACCCTTAGGGCCACTGTCAGGTATACCTGGTGTGCACACACACAATGAGGTGTTTATCGGGCCTCTGGTGGCTTTTTTGGAGGGACTTGCAGGCAGGTGGCTGGAGGTAGGAGGCTCCCTGTGTGAGGTCAGCTTGGACAATTTAGTGAACCACTTTCAGAATAAAAACTGAAAGGTCTAACTCAATAGCATGGCACCCCTGAGTCCTCAGTGATGTAGGGAAGTGAAACTCCTGCCCTGATCTGAGGAGTTCATGTTCTTTAAAACTGAAGAATGAATTTTAGAAACAAACGGAGGATGAGGGTAAAACTTTATTGGAAAGGAAAGCTTCTGTCTAAGAGGGACAGAAGGGGGGCCCAAGCAGGTTGCCCAGGAAGCAAGCTGTCTCTTTTAGGTTATTTTTATAGGACAAAACCATGTGGAGATAAGGTAAAGAAGAAGGCGTCTCACTTGGGCGGATGCAGGGTGGGACAAAACTATGGTCAACCAATGGGATTACAAGCACCATTGCTTAGGTAAAATTGATTAGGCCCGGGACCAAATAGGGTAGCCAGTAATGTAGCAAGTGGGATGAATGTAAAACAGGACCTTATCTGGTGGCTTTCAGACAATGATTCTTCCTAAGTAATGATCAGTCCTGGATGCCAGTCTTTAGGGAGGTTAGCATTTATTTGATCTTTAGGTCTGGCTTACAGCAGGCGCATCTGTCCCTCCCACAGTTGTAAAGTGTCTGGTCTTTGTCATCTCCTTTGAGGGTCTGACCCTGTCTGACTGCCTATAATATTTCTATCTAACTCAGGCTGCCTGCAACATCAGGACCAAAGAAACAACAAAGAACCAGTGATAAGGCAGAAGTATTGGTGTGAGTTCAAGACCAGCCTGGGCTGCATGAGCTCAAGGCCAGCCTGAACTGCATAGTGAGATCCTGTCTCAAAAAGAGCAAAGAAAAAATAAAAAAAAGTGATGAAACTATACTTTCAGACTCAAAAGCCTGTATTTTTTCCTCTTTACCACACTACTTCTCTAGCTAATGAACATCTCAGGAAAACTCGTCCCCTATTTATTTCACAAGTAGTGGAGACCAGAGACAGAGAAACAAAGTGATTTCTCTCCATTGACATGGCTGGGAATAAGACCAGATCTCAGGCTGGGGAGATAGCTCAGTAGAATAAGTGCTTGCCTAGCAAGCACAGGGTCTTGAGTTCAATTCTCAGTACTACCAAAAAAAAAAAAAAAAAAAAAAAAGGCCAAATCTCTAGGCCCTTGACCTATAAGTTCTATTTTATTTTATCTTATCTTATCTTATTTTATTTGAAGTTCTGGGGATCAAACCAGGGCCTTGTGTGCTGAGCTACATCCCCAGACCTGATTTTTTTTTTTTTGGTCTTTTTGAGACAAGCTCGAGGGGCTGGGAGATAGCTCAATGGATTAAGCGCTTCTCTGGAAAGCACAAGGGCCTGAGTTCAGGCCCCAGTTCCACCAAAAAAAAAAAAAGTATTTCTTTCTTGAGACAAGCTCGCTTATGCAGCTCAGCATGAACTAGAGCTTACTTTATAAGCTGGTAGATAGACCCTGTTTCAAAAGGTAAAAAATAATAATATTAATAGTAATAGCCCCCCCAAAAAATAATAATAGCCATGTATAGTGGCACATACCTGTGATTCTAGCACTTGGGTTGCTGAGGCAGGAGGATTGCAATGTGTTTGGAGTCAGCCTGGGCTCTATAGTAAGACCATGTCTCTAAAATTAGAGTAGAAAAAATAAAATAAAATTAGAGTAGAGTAGAGTAGAGTAGAGTAGAGTAGAGTAGAGTAGAGTAGAGTAGAGTAGAGTAGAATAATAGAACAAACAGACCAGAATAGAAATCATGATAGAGGAGGGCCTGTGCCCAGGTACAAGTGCTCATTTCAACAACTGGTAACCATGTAATATGATTTTGGCTAAGAAAAGATAAGTGAAAATCTGCCAGGGATTTCTGAAAGAGTGTGACATTTAGCTATAAACATCACCCATTTGTTTCCATCTGCTTGTTTCTTCTTGCTAGAATTCAAATCTATCTCCTGGAAAATGCACTTATTCCTTCAACATGTATTTACTGTGCAGCTCTTACCTGTGTGTTCCAGGCTCGAAGTGCCAGTGATACAGCAGTGAGCAGGAAGAGAGTCCTTGTCCTCATGGTGCTTGCAGTCGAGGCTAGGGAGGAAGACACTAAACAAGGAGACTGTAATGCACAACAGATGGTGACGGGTGCAGTAGAAAAAGAGAAAGCAGGGGGCAGGGCTAAGGATTTCCCACCACCAGGTGGGGCACGCACGTGCACTTTTACAGCCCTCACCGAGGAGGGCAGCATGGAGCACATTCGTGAAGAAAGTAGACCCGTGAGGCTATCTGGAGGAAGAAAACTAAGGAAAGAGAACATGCAAACTGAGTGTGGGATTGTGCCAGGCTTGTTAGAGATGCAGCGGCGACATTGTAACCCTGAGACAACAAACAAGGCATTTATTTATTTATTTATTTATTTATTTTTTGTACAGGGTCTCACTGCTCAGGTTGGACTCCGCCTCCCCATCCCTGAGATCACAGGCGTGTGC